GAAGCCCGGAGCGTGAGCCTAGGTGAAGCGGGTCCCGGTGCAAATCTTGGTGGTACTAGCAAATATTCAAATGAGAACTTTGAAGACCGAAGTGGAGAAGGGTTCCATGTGAACAGCGCTTGGACATGGGTCAGTCGGCCCTAAGAGATGTGGAAACCTTGTATCAAGGGCGCACTGCGCGCCGCACATCGAAAGGGGGCCGGGTTAATATTCCCGAACCGGGTTGTGGAGGTGGAAGGTAACGTAAGCAGCTCCGGAGATGTCGGTGGGGGCCGTGGGGACGGTTCTCTTTCCTTCTTGACGGCTCGCCCACCCTGAAATCGGACCAACCAATTGCCTATTCAATGACTGACCAGGTATAGACTACCACTAATTGCAGATCCGGCGTTCTCGTTCATTGGCTGATCTAACAACAGTCGGTCATTGGTTGGTCCTAAGTTGGTGTCAATCGCTGGGGGGGGGAGTCTCGGCTATTGTGCGGGCGAGCTGTCTGTCAGTATTGTCCAAGCTGTATTCGGACAGGCGTCGGGGAGGTCGAACGGAGCTCCTAGAAGGGACGACGAATAGGGTATTAACTTTCTGCTTGCGCAGGGTTTGCTTGGTGGGCACTATGTGATCAGTTCATTTGTGAGAAACGGGTATCACACGCGGTTGTTTGTACTAAAAGCTCTGTGGTTGCTATTGCTGGACGGGGTAGAAATTTCAAGATCTATTTATCTGAGGAAAATAGAAATTGGAAGTCAGATATAGAGTTTGAACAGTGAAACCACTTGTTGTATCTAATGCCCAGGGTCATGCCAGCGGTTAACCAAGAGATATTTTGATTCTGGGCATTGTTCTCTTTTGACTGCTAGTCTGTGGGAAGGCTGTTTCGATTGACCCAGCAATAGATTGGACAGGTCCACCAACCCCGTACACCCTGCAGGTCGCTGAGGACCTCGGAAGCGGGCACAACGAGTGACAGGCGCTGTTGCCCTTGCCTTCAGCGAACTGCAGGCGACCCCTCCCCAGGTTTCCGCATAACGTGACGTTTCGAAATTTCGACGACCGAAAAAAATCGCGCGGCAAGTCGCCGCGCGATTAAAGCTCGCGAATTCCGAAYGCCGCCGCCGTACGTCCGCCCACCGCCAGTTCGCGGATTCGCCCGAGGGCCCGGTTACGCAGGTCCCCTCGTCGCAACGCAAAATAAGTGCACCTCAACAAAATTAGCGCAATACCCGCCATTCGCAGTTACGCAATGCAAAGTGCCACAGTCCACGCGGTTTCACAGTGCAAAGTGTTCACACTTAGACGTGCATGGCTTAGTCTTTGAGACAAGCATATGACTACTGGCAGGATCAACCAGGTACTATGCTTGTCTCAAAGACTAAGCCATGCACGTCTCAAAGACTAAGCCATGTTGATCCTGCTACCTGGTTGATCCTGCCAGTAGTCATATGCTTGTCTCAAAGACTAAGCCATGCACGTCTAAGTGTGAACACTTTGCACTGTGAAACCGCGTGGACTGTGGCACTTTGCATTGCGTAACTGCGAATGGCGGTTCCCCGCCGATTCTTCCAAGCCCGTTCCCTTGGCTGTGGTTTCGCAGGATGGTAGATAGGGACAGTGGGAATCTCGTTATTCCATTCATGCGCGTCACTAATTAGATGACGAGGCATTTGGCTACCTTAAGAGAGTCATAGTTACTCCCGCCGTTTACCCGCGCTTGGTTGAATCTCTTCACTTTGACATTCAGATCACTGGCCAGAAATCACATTGCGTCAACATCCGTTGGGACCATCGCAATGCTTTGTTTTAATTACACAGTCGGATGCCCCTTGTCCGCACCAGTTCTGAGTCKGCAGTTTGATGCTTAGGGAGAGTCCCACGGCCCCACCCGAAAGGTGGGGACATAAGACATTCTACGCCTGTCGGCACACTGGCATGCGGGCTCCGCCCTCGCCACGAGAGCAGCTCGGGCAGACCACCGGCAGCCAACGACATCGAGGCGCAGACCCCGAGGCCCAGCCCTCAGAGCCAATCCTTTTCCCAAGGTTACGGATCCATATTGCCGACTTCCCTTACCTACATTCTTCCTTTGACCAGAGGCTGCTCACCTAGGAGACTTGATGCGGTTATGAGTACGGTCGGGCGTGAGAGGTACCAGCAGCTCCAGATTTTCAAGGGCCGTCGGGGGCGCTCTGGATACCACAGGACGTGCAGTGCTTTGCCGGGCGCTGCACCCTATCTCCGATTGATCCGACTCCAGGGTGGGCGAGCCGTCAAGAAGGAAAGAGAACCCTCCCCACGGCCCCAGCCGGCATCTCCGGAGCTGCTTACGTTACCGTCCACCTCCACAACCCGGTTCGGGAATATTAACCCGACCCCCTTTCGATGTGCGGCGCGCAGTG